TGGGTTGGCAAGGGTGGCCGCAAGGTGGGGCTGGGCTCCAGCAGGAAGGTTTCAGCTGCACTGGGCCCAGAGTTCATCCTGAAGTGGGCATGGGAGGCCGCGGAGTGGTGACTGTGCTCTGTGCCCCACAGGGTCACCAACGTGTTCTATGAACAGTACCTGACCATAGTCCCCGAGGGGCTCTTTATGCTCACCATCTGCCTGGTGCCCACCTTTGTCGTCTGCTGCTTCTTGCTGGGCATGGACGTTCGCTCCGGTCTCCTCAACCTCTTCTCCATCATCATGATCCTGGTGGACACTGTGGGCTTCATGACGCTCTGGGACATCAGCTACAATGCTGTGTCCCTCATCAACCTGGTCACGGTAACCTGCCAGAGGGAGTGTCAGGGCTCTAGTGCAGGAAAAGAGGCTCCCAGTTCTTTCTAGAGTCTAGGTGCTGCCTGCTGGCCTGGGTGGAGACCCCTGCCCCTGCCCTTGGGTGGCTGAAGCCCCCTTTCTTCCCTCAGGCAGTGGGCATCTCTGTGGAGTTTGTGTCCCACATCACCCGCTCCTTTGCCATCAGTACCAAGCCCACACGGCTGGAGAGGGCTAAGGAGGCCACCGTCTCCATGGGCAGTGCGGTGAGTGGATGGGCTGCCTCACATGGTCCTTGGTCAGCCACCCCCTGCCCAGTCTGACGCCTGCTTGTGACCCCCAGGTGTTTGCAGGAGTGGCCATGACCAACCTGCCTGGCATCCTCATCCTGGGCCTGGCTAAGGCGCAGCTCATCCAGATCTTCTTCTTCCGTCTAAACCTCCTCATCACTGTGCTGGGCCTGTTGCATGGCCTGGTCTTCCTGCCTGTCATCCTCAGCTACCTGGGTGAGTGCCAGGCCCCTCCTGCAAGACTCCAAGCCACAGGCAAAATGCCAGGAACACTCACAACCCCCCCGCCTCACCTGGGACAGGCACTGCCCCAAATTGTGGGCACACAGTTCCTCCTGGTTTGGAAGCTACAGTTTTTTACTTAGCATGTGAAAACATCTCTTTTTGGGTCAGATGTGTGTTTCAAACATGATCAGTGGCCATTTGAACTTCTGATCATGAGTTTGAGCAAAAAATATATTTTCACATTGAGAGGTGATGTGTACAGGTATGGACATGGACATGCAGAGTAGAACAGGCCTTTCACAAAATAACACTGCCTAAGAAGCCTCAGGTATTTTCTGTTCTATTCTATCATTGATTTTTAAAAAAATTCTGGCGTTATCTGGGAAATTGATTTCATGACTCATTCATGGGTGACAACTTGCAGTTGAAAAACATTTCCTTTTGTATGGATCGGCCACAGTCCATTTAGCCAGCTCCCAGTTGCTAGACATTAGACTGTTTCTGGCATCACCGACTTGATGGACATGACTTTGAGCAAGCTCTGGGAGTTGGTGACAGACAGGGAAGCCTGCTGTGCTGCAGTCCATGGTGTCGCAAAGAGTTGGACACGACTGAGCGACTGAACTAGAACTAGAACTGGACTATCTCTGACTTTGCATGTTATTGCCAGTGCTGCGATGACTATCCTTGTGGCTGAATCTTTGACCTCACTCTCCAGTATATGCTAGAGAAAGTTCAGTCCATGAATACTGGTTGTTCATTCCAACTGTTAACACCCTCCAAGAAGTTTTACCATTTAAACTCCTACTAGCAACATGTACATTTCTGTTTCCTCACTGTAGAGCATTCAGTTCAGTTCAGTTTAGTTGCTCAGTCGTGTCTGATTCTTTGCAACCCCATGGACTGCAGCATGCCAGGCTTCCCTGTCCATCACCAACTCCCGGAGCTTACTGTAGGGCATAGTTATTCTTTTTTTAAAGAATTATTTATTTACTGTCTGCTCTGGTTCTTTGTTGCTGTGGGCTTTCTCTAGTTGCAGCGAGTAGGGTTACTCTCTATTTGTGGTGCGTAGGCTTCTCTTTGTGGTGGCTTCTCTTGTTGCGGAGCACATGGGCTCCAGTGGTTGTGGTGCATGAGTTTAGTTGCCCCGAGACATGTGGGATCTTAGTTCCTGGACCAGGGGTCAAACCTGTGTCCCCAGCATTAGCAGGCTGACTCCCAAGCAGTGGACCACTAGAAAAATCCCTATTGAGCACAGTTATTTTACGCACCCCATCGCTCCACAGAGATTTAAACGGGGCCCCTGGATGAAGTGCTCCCCCATGGGGTGGGCAAGCTGAGAGCAGTTCAATTTTGCACTGTTCCCGGACACCAGGAATATAATAATGGTAATTTTAGATGGAACATTTATATTAATAGAAGGGTGTGTTTGTGTGCTAATAAATATATATTAATCCTCTTATCATCCCTGGAGGTAGGTGATGTTTTCATCCCCATTTCACAGATGAGGAACCTGAGACCCCCTCCACCCCAGTAATAGAGCTGGACACATGCAGTGTATTTGGAGGCCACACAGCACCAGAGCCCTTATGCAAGGCATCCCAGTCTTGTAGAAACTTCCTGACCCCCTTTGGAAGAGGAGAGTGTAGTTGTTGGGGACCTCCCCAGAGGCTACTTGGCTGGGGAGCCACAGGTCCCACAGGTCATGGCCACCCCTTGGAGATTCTGAGTGGCCCGCCCCCTGCAGAGTGACTGGGATCCTGACAGAGAGGCGAGTAGCAGGCGCAGGGGTTCCGGGTCCCCTCTCTGACCTGAGTCTGATGACAGTGAGGAATGGCTTCTCTCAGCAAGGAATGTTTGCACAGCGTGTCCAAGGAAGAGAGGAGGGGGAGGAGTCACTGGCTATGGGCAGCTTGGGGCTTCCCCTGCTAGACCCCTGGATGGCAGGGGGCACCAGGGGCTGGGCGCGGGTGGCAACTGATGGTTACCAGCTTTTGGGGGGTATGGCCAAGTGAGGACTGGGGTGAAGGGCAGTGATGGAAGTGGGGGGCTTAGGATTTAGCTCTCCCCCTCTGGAACTTCCATTTGGGGCTCCAACACACGCCTGCATCCTGCACCCGGCACGCCGCCTCCCTGACCGTGTTGCTCTGTGTCTGTCCCTCTGCAGGGCCCGATGTCAACCCAGCTCTGGTGCAGCAGCAGAAGCAGGAGGAGGAGGCAGCTGCAGCCACGGAGACCTCTTGCTCAAAGCACTCCGCCCCGATGAGCACTGATGACGGTGTCTACGTCAACTACAGCTTTGAACATCCTGCCAAGAGTGCAGGAGGCCTCGCGAGCTCTCCATCAGAGAACAGGCAGAAGTTCTGATGGGGCCAGAGCCCCTGTCCAAGCTCATCGGCCATGATCTGAGGGGCCACAAAGGCTCCTCCTGAGGGTCCTTTGACCTATCCTTCCCCCAGGCCCTCAGAGAGGCTGTCTCCACAGGACCGCCCACCATTGGTCACCCTCTGGCCACCAGATCTCACCCATAAGGACACCGATTGTGATGGAGGTGGCACGTGATGGCTTGGGTGTGACCTGGTCCAAATCCATCTCTTAAATTTGACATGTGTCCTCCTCATGCAAGTTTTAAAACTTTAGTTCCATATATGTGAACAACATATACGTTCACATTTAAAATTTTCCTTAATTGATGCCATACGTGACCTAACCTTTTGCAATGAGGTTTTTTTTTTTTTCATGCAGCATGCCTTTTTTCAATTTATTCATGTCGATACATGGAGATCTAGTCCAATCATTTTAACTGCGACTCAGCTTTCCATTGTGTGAATGAACAGGATGCTTTTTATCCATTCCCCTGCTAGTGGGCAATCACATTGTCCTCAATTATTTTTCTGCTATTAAGTCCACAGTCACTTATGTGGAATTTCAGAACCCCCAGAACTCTGAAAACCTAGTGGATTTGTCTTTTTCTTTTGTAAGTTTGGGACAAACTAATTTCGTAGCAAAGACTGATCAGAGATGATGTATCTATGTATACTCTTTATAAATAGGCTTCCCTGGTGGCTCAGATGGTAAAGAATTTGCCTGCAATGCAGGAGATTCAGGTTCTATCCTTGGGATGGGAAGATCCCCTGGATAAGGAAATGGCAACCTACTCCAGTGTTTCTGCTTGGAGAATTCCATGGACACAGGAGCTTGGCAGGCTATAGTCCATGGGGTTGCAAAGAGTCAGACACAACTGAGTGACTAACACTTCTTTTTTTTTTTTTTTTAAATAGGATACTTACACTCTCCAACCAACTTGATGTGAATAGTCATATATTTCAGCACATTAACAAGTTTGATTTTATGTTGCTACCCCAGATCCTAATGAGGTCTAATATCTAATGTATTGTAAGCATCAAATTACGTTTCTGAAAAAATGTTCTCAATTCTGAAATTCAGCTCACGTATGGGACTTCAGGCATCGAACCATGGACCTGTGTGATGAGCAGGTGTTTACACGTCTCCTGTCTATTTGTGGGGAGCTACCATCGCTGTAGCACTGAATGGATACAGACTGGTGCCTTCCAGGGCGTCTGCCCTGTGCACACCTCCACCCCATAAGGGTGCCTCTTTCCCGGCACCAATACCAACACCACACTCCACTTGTTTCTGGGAGGGAGGGGAGTGGGGTTATAGATTGTTATCCCTTTTTAAAAAATACTGTTTTTAAAAGAAAACTTTTTTATGTTAGAATAGTTTTACAGGAAAATTACAAAGATAATACAGAAAGTTCCTGTATGCCCCCCGCTCGCCCCCCAAAATTTACTCGAGTAACACATTAGTGTGATACACATGTCAGTGTACCATGAATGAACCAGTACTGATTATTACTACTAACCAAAATCCATATTTTGTTTAGATTTCCGTAATTTTACCCAGGCTCCTTTTTCTGAGCCAGGATCCTGTCCAGGACACTCCACAACACTCGGTTGTTATGTTTACTTAGGCTCCTTTCGTTTCTGACTGTGTGTCAGGCTCTTCTTTTGTTTTTGGTGACCTGGACAGTTGAAGACTGGTCAGGTATTTTAAAGAATGTCCTTCAAATGGGGTTTGTTTAGTATTTCTCCCGGTTAGACAAAGGTGATGGGTTTTTCAGAGGGAGACCACGAGGCAGAGAGCCGGTCTCAGCCCACAGTGTCAAGGGTGCCTGCAGTCACCATAGCTTGTCGCTGTCACGCTGACCCTGACCACCTGACTGAGGTTGTGTCGGCCAGGCGTCCCCTCTGTACACTTGCACCTGTCTGCATGCTGCACTCTTTGGAGGGAAGTTGCTATGCACAGCCCACACTTAAGGGTGAGTGGTTATGCTCTACTTCCTGGAGGGTGGAGTGTTTACATAAATTATTTGGAACTCTTCTGAACAGGAAAATTGTTCTCCTCCATTTAAATATGATAGCATATTTATTCAGTATGCTATCTTTATCAGTATGGAACCAAGGATGCTCAGTTTTTACTTTGGGTTTTGATATAGTGACTATTTGCTCCACATTTGGCCATTGGGAAGTCTTCCAGTTGGCTCCTAGGTCTCTTTGACATATTCCCTTTACTGTGGGTTTTTTCCCCTCTTTGTGAGCACTTCTGTACTTCCTGGCATTATAAGATGGTACAGGCTCAACTTGTATATTTCTGTCCTAGTCCTAGAGTCAGCCATTTCTCTCAGGAGTTCCAGCCCTTCATCTGGAGATAAGTTTAGAAATTAGGATCTGGGTGTTCAGTGTGTGTTGCTGCTGGGGCTTTGTTGCTTCTGATCCTCTCAGCTGAGAGAGCAAGGGCATACATATGTGAATACTGACCTGTATATGTACACATTTCTAGAAATATTTCTATGAAAAGCCATCTGTATCTACACTAAAAAGGAGTTTATGCTGATGCCTCCAGGTCTAACCCGTAACCACATGAATCATTCTAGACTCCTTTCTTGCTTCTTTGGAGCCTCTCATGCCAGCTAAAGAGAAGCCGGGCTCCACCACCCTCACCATTTACTTAGTTGTTGATTACCTTTACACATATGGAGGAGTCTCAGAAATGATAACCTACACTCCCATGGAAAACAACTTTAGAATTTAGTATTTACATGCAATTCCTTTTGCCTTTAGTCTTACAGACACCATTCCTTTCCAGACACCATACCTTTCCAGGTTAGCATCTTTCAGATGGGGTCAGTATCCCTTTCAGAGAAGCTGCTTTATACATTTAAAAAATATTTATTTATTTATTTTTGGTGAGCTAGGTTTTTGTTTCCGCCTTCGGGCTTTCTCTAGTTGCAGAGATCGGGGGCTACTCTTTAGTTGTGATGCATGGGCTTCTCATTGCAGTGGCTTCTGTTGTTGTAGAGCACAGACTCTAAGTGCATGGGTTCAGTAGTTGTGGGGCACAGGTTTATTTGTTCTGCAGCATGTGCAATACTCCAGACCAGGCATTGAACTTGCTTCTCCTGCACTGGCAGGATTCTTAACCCCTGGACCACCAGGGAAGCCCTTATACATTTTTAATATAGTTAGATTCTTGCATCACATTCTTTATTCCATTCTGATTTTACAAAATCACATGTGTAAATGTTTATTGGGGGTATTCAGAACATGATCCCTGGTTGACCCTCTAGCTAGACCCAGGCAATGGGAGACTCCTCACCCTTTCCTCTGTCCCTTGTAATGTATGCTCTGCCTACCATTCCCACAGCAAGAGTTGTTTTCACATGTATATTATCTAGGGTGAAACAGATCACCAGCCCAGGTTGGATGCATGAGACAAGTGCTCGGGCCTGGTGCACTGGGAAGACCCAGAGGGATCGGGTGGAGAGGGAGGTGGGAGGGGGGACTGGGATGGGGAATACATGTAAATCCATGGCTAATTCATTTCAATGTATGACAAAAACCACTGCAATGTTGTAAAGTAATTAGCCTCCAACTAATAAAAATAAATGGAAAAAAAAAAAAGAGTTGTTTTCAACAACATCTTCCTCTCAATACCTTGAGAGAGGAAGATGTTTTTGAGCCCACGTGGACAGTGTATGTGATTGAACCCAGTTAAGGTGTCTGTATAAATGTTTACGATTCTGGCAAAGTGGATGTGAAAATATACTGGTCTTGGGGCTGCCCAGGACAAGTCTTGTAACTTTCCTTGCTTATTAAACCTCCTACCTACCAGTCTGAAGTGGTCTGCCTCTTTCTTCCATCTCTCCTTGCTCTGTGTATACAGAGAACAAACTGTGAACAAAGATCACTCAAAGTATTAGGACAGACCAACAGATGTTAATGTGACAAAGTAGGAGACATTTATTGATACAATTTCAGATTTCACAGTGCAACTAATCTTTAAGAAACTACAATTTGTAGAATGTTGGTGTAGTTTCCAAGAATAATACTCACATTTATTTGAAAAGGCAATTAAACTGCTATTTGTATAAGACTGGGTTTCTCATACTTCAATCAAAACACCATACTGCAATGCAGTGAACGCAGCAGATGTGAGAATCTGGCTGTCTTCAATTCAATTAAGCTAGATAGTAAAGAGATCTGCAAAAGTTTAAAAGGATGCTTTGTTTCTCATAAACTTTTTTTTTCTCATAAACTTTTACTGCTCTGAAGAACATTATGTCTTTACAAAAATATGTTAACATGTTTTTATGGTTATTAAAATGCATAATATTTAAACATTTTCTGTTTTTATGTCCAATATGGTAACTATCAATAAACATAATACACATAAAATTTATGGAAGACTCCAAAGAGTCTTTGATATATTTTAAGAATGAAAATGGGTCTTTTTGTTTTTTTCTCCTTTTGGCCATGGCCACACTTGTGGGATCTTAGTTCCTGGACCAGGGATTGAACTTGGGCACTCTGATGTGAGAGTGCAGAGTCCTAACCACTGGACCCTCAGGGAATCCCCTGTAAATAGGTCCTAAGTCCAAAAAGTTTCAGAACGCTGCTCTACAGCAGTTTATCTGAGTCTGACTTTGTTTACAATCCATTAGAGTCCATACACTAGTAAGATACATGTTAACTTGTAGATTTCAGGCTAGTAGAGATGCAAATCATTTCTATCCACTAGGAAAGATAATCTACATCATTTTATAGGACACCAGCCAGCTTTGTATCCAATCTAGCCATCTTACTCTGTTTTCTGAAAGAGTTATAAATATCCAGTTTCTCGAAAAGCTTCTCCAAACTAGCTTTATCATATCATTGGTTACTGTTAATTAAAATGGATAAATCTCTGACGTGTTCATTATATATTTGAGTGTTATGTTTTGAGTTTCAGATTATGCTTTGACAGACCCTTAGAACACATACACATGCAATTTGTGTATATATATACTATGCGTACACATGCATATACTATACACACATATGTATATGTATATTTTACAGCACGGCACACCAGATTCTCTATTCTGCATCTAGCTCTTTCCATTTAATACTGGTACATGCACTCACTTGATAATCTTGTCTTCTTTTATTTATGCATATCACCTTGCATTTCACCCACGACTACATTAGTAACGGGAAACACACCAACAGAAAGGTCGCATTTTCCTCTTTGGACTCGCCAGCAAAAGGCTCTCGCTGTCCCGCCTTGTTTCTGGACGTCCAGTCTGGAACACAGCCCGCAAACCACGTGACAACAGCATGGCTCACGTAACAGTTGTTGCCGGCGCTACAACTCTTCCGCCAGTTTCCAACATGGCCACTAAGCGCCCTCAATGCCGCAGCCCCGGGCCCTCTTGCTCTTCGGGGGCCCACTTCTGCTCCTCCACGAGACCGCCCCAGAAGCCCGGGGGCAGTAGGGGCGGTGCCCGGATCCAGTCGGCTCCAGCGCAGTCCAGCCCAGCTCCACCGCTGGGGCGAACCAGCGCGGACCGGAAGTTTCCCGGGCGCGCCAGCGGCCGGGGCCGTTACTGCAGAGCACCGGAAGTGGCCATAGGCCGGCGTCCGGGCCGCGCCCGCAGTGAGTGAGCTTTCCTCCGGCCGGCGACGCCATGGAGCCTGGGGCGGCCGAGCTGTACGATCAGGCCCTGCTGGGCATCTTGCAGCATGTGGGCAACGTTCAGGACTTTCTGCGTGTGCTCTTCGGCTTCCTCTACCGCAAAACGGACTTCTACCGCCTGCTGCGCCACCCGTCGGACCGCATGGGCTTTCCCCCGGGGGCCGCGCAGGCGCTGGTGCTGCAGGTAACGCGCGGCGGGCGGGAAGCTCGGGGTGAGGTGGGGGAAGATCGCGGGAGCCCCGACCCCCGCAAGCCCGCTCCCGTAGTCCCCGACCCTCTGGGAGCTCAGGCTCCTGCGAGTCCACCGCTTCTTTCGCTGCCGACCTCAGCTCATGCTCTGGCGCTTCCCCCGACCCGCCTCCTGCGGCCGCGGCTTCTGCGGAGATGCTGGTCTGGTATCAGTTTACTCCTGTGAGAGGTGCCGGCTCTAGAGCAGCCTGGTCCGATAGGGTGCATTTGGATATCAGAAGCTCAGGGCCACGGTCACCTCCAGCAGCGCGTAACCCTTCGAGTGACAGGGCCGGCCAGTCAAGAGAATGAAAACAATGCAGGCTAGACTGGGGAATGGGCGGCGGCAGCACGGACACCTGCACACCCCAGAACTACGACTGCTGGACGAGGGGGAGGCTGTGTGATGGGTGTGGTTCTTTTATTTGAAGTGTGACTTTTCACGTCAAAGACAGTCATAGTATAATAGTACTTAATAAGTTTACATATGAGCGTATATCTGTGCATCCCAGGTTAAGCTTATGTTGGAGGCTATCATTCACTGAAGTTGACGGGGTATTTGAAATGTAATAAGCAAGAGTTCACACACTCAGCCACCGTAGGCATTGGAGATACACTGGTTATGCGGATGGTTAAATAATGGTTTCTCTACGCTATATTTAAAGAGACGAAATACAGTAATAGGGACCTTTGCCTGCTACCTGACAGAGCCATTGGAAGGAAAGGAATAGAAATGATCTTTTGGAAATGAAGACAAGTTTTGTAGAGGAGGTGGAATTTTGATGGCATCGAAAGAGCATACTCAGTCAAGCATTGAGCCAGGAACCTGAGAAGGCAGAAATTCTGGTGATACCTCTCACTGTCGTCTAGCACTTTACAGTTTATGAAGTGATTTCAAAGGTTCATCTCGTGAAGTCTTGCTGCTCGCTTCAGGTTGGTCCGATATTACTTTCCTAAGTGCCTGCATGAAGAAACAAATGCTTAAAATGTTTGAATAACTACCAGAGATACTATGGTCAAATGAAGAGTGAGGTTGGTATTCAGTTTGAAAACTTAAGGCTGTTGCTCATCCTTGTAGTGGTTAAGTACCATCCAAGTGATCAGAGAACTGTGTGTCAGAGATGGTTTTTAGCAAATCCTTTGGCAAATTAATAATTTCACAGAAGCTTGTGAAATAGATAAGGTTGAATTTTATGTGGCAGATGAGGGTGCCAGTTCAGCAGATCAGGTGGTTTTATTTGACCAAACTCATCATAGAGCTATAGCTCAAAACTTCATTTTTCCAATTCCAAATTTTTCTGTTCTATTATTTAACTGGTCCATTGTAGAGTGGCAACACTTTCCTCTAGGGTGATCTTTTGCAGAAAAAAGAAAGGAACATTTACTGAGCACCTAGTATGTACTAATTGTTATGTAATTTTTTATCGAGGTTGTCATTTGTTCTTAACCTGAAAAGGTTGATCTTTCTCCTTGTTTTACAGGTGAACTGACAGAGGTAATTCATGAATCTGGTAACAGTATGTAAGACACCTACTATGTTTTAGACACTCTCAAAGGTTAAGACTTGGTGAACAGTTTAGTAAAGTGGAGGTGGGGAACAAGGCAGAGAGAGGGGTGGGATGGGCCAGAGGTGACCCAAGGTTTCAGACCAGGGCACAGTAATAATGGTAATGCATTCACTGAATTGTCACCTGAATTTAGGGGAAGGAGCTTAGTTTTAGACAAGTTGAATTGGAGATTGCAGACAGAAGTCTCTGTCCATAGGCTGTTGAATTGTGGGACTGAAGCTCATGGGAGGTAGAAGAATCTGAGTGGTTTAAAGGAGAGGAGCTGAAGGTGGAGGAGCAGGGCAGAGAGAAGGTGCCTTCTCCAGAGAAGGAATTGGAGAAGCAAGAGGTTGTGGGAGTGGGAGGGGGATGGAGGGAAGTGGGCAGGGCAGTAAATTCCATGGAAACCAAGAGGGACAATTTCTGGCAGGTAGTTAAGAGGCATGTAGTGTTTTCTGAAAGTGGTTCTCAGTCATCAGCATTGCTCAGGGAACTTTAAAAGAGCAGATATCCCTTGGTTATTTTGGTTGAGTTCAGTTCAGTTCAGTCACTCAGTCGTGTCTGACTCTTTGTGACCCCATGAACTGCAGCACGCCAGGCCTCCCTGTCCATCACCAACTCCTGGAGTCTACCCAAAGCCATGTCCATCAAGTTGGTGATGCCACCCAACGATCTCATCCTCTGTCATCCCCTTCTCCTCCTACCCTCAATCTCTCCCAGCATCAGGGTCTTCTCAGATGAGTCAGCTCTTTGCATCAGGTGGCCAAAGTATTGGAGTTTCAGCTTCAACATCAGTCCTTCCAGTGAACACCAGGACTGATCTCCTTTAGGATGGACTGGTTGGATCTCCTTGCAGTCCAAGGGACTCTCACGAGTCTTCTCCAATACCACAGTTGAAACGCATCAATTCTTCGGTGCTCAGCTTTCTTTATAGTCCAACTCTCATATCCTTACATGACCACTGGAAAAACCATAGCCTTGACTAGACGGTTGAGTAGATCAGGGTAAATCCTCGGGAGCTGTTCTTTTATTCACAGAGGCATTGGGCAGTGGAGTGCTTGGGGGTCTCTTCAGAACTCAGGGAAAGAGAGTTTGGATGGGAGTATTGTAGTGCTCCATTCTGGAACTCCTGTTTCCCCTGATATTTTGGGGTATGGGATGTTTGTGTGGTTTAAACCTTCTTCAGCTTTTCCCCCCAGTTCTAAGGGCTTGCACAGCCTGGCTGTACAGTTTGAAGGACCTTCAGCAGGAAAGATGCATGTGAAAATTGTATTCCACTCCCTTATTTATTAGTATATTTTAAGCAAACAGTAATTTAGACTGACATTTTGTTCATTTCAGTTGACCTGTGTTTATTCTGGAGTTCAGTTTGGGAAGCCTGCTTAAAAGGTACCCCCCACCCCACCTCCCCATGAGAGTCAGGAAAGCTAGTTCTTTTTGCTCCTCCCTGAGCTTCTTGGGAAGTCTTGGGAGAATCACTCTCCTCTGTCAGTTGAGAAGGTTGACTGGAGGTCAGGGACATGTCTTCCAGCTCCGCAATCCAGGATTCTGAAATAAGTGCTGAGGTCAGCAGCGATGTGAGAGGTGAAGCAGGTGTCATCTTAGAGGAGGCGGGGGTGCTGAGTAAGCAAGGGCAGTGGGGGCCACAGTGTCATCAGGAGTATGAGGCTGGGGTCCAAGGGAGGTTCCCAGTGTTAGGAGAGAGCCCTTGCTGTTACTTCTTTTCTGGAGTTAAGATGAAGATGTGGTGTGTCAGGAACATGAATGGCTCTGAGGGCAGTGGGTCTGGTGTCTGGTGTCATTGACATGGATGTGAGAGGAGTGAGTCAGGGGCTCAGGTTCTCTGGAGAAGCAGAGATAGGTACTGTTTCTAGTTTTTAACCTTAGGATTTCCCTTGCCTTCCTCTGCCTACATTTCCTTTCAGTGTTTAGTGTGCTTCCTGTATAATTTTTTACTTTCTTCTTTCATTGGCAGGATCTTGGGCAAGTTACCGTCTGACCTTAGTTTTCCCTCATCTTTGAAATATCAGTGCTATCTTCCTAACAGCATTTTCCTGAGCTTTGTGAGAGAATGTTTATAAAAACACTGACATTGTAATTTCTCTTGTTCTGTCTTCTTGCTCAGTGCACACAGCAGTCATTTAGCCCCTGTCTGCATTCTAACCCTTTGGAAACTGACTCCTACACACTTTAAAACATTTTTATTTTGTTAAGACTACTCTTTAGAGTAGTTTCAGGTTCAGAACAAAATTGAGGGGAAAGTACAGCGATTTCCCATTTACTCCCTGCCACCTCCACCCCCACAGCTTCCCCTGTTGTCAGTATCCCCCACCAGAGTGGTGCATTTCTTACAATGGATGGACCTGCATTGACATATAGTCACCCAAACCCAGACTTTACTTTGGAGGTCATTCTTAGTGTTGTTCACTTTATGGGGTTTGGACAAATGTATGATGACATGTATCCCTCATTATGACATCACACAGTATTTTCACTGCCCTAAAAAAATCCTGTGTAGTCTTACTTGTTCATTCCTTTCTCCCCTCAACCTCTGGCAACCACTGGTCTTTTTATTGCCTCTAAACTTTTACCTTTTCCACAGTATCATATAGTTGGAATCATACATTGTGTAGCATTTTCAGATTGGCTTCTTTTACTAATATACATTTAAATAACCTCCATGTCTCTTCATGCCTGATAGCTCATTTCTTTTTATGGCAGAATAATATTCCATTGTCTGGATGTGCCAGTTTGTTTATCCCATCATTTATTGAAGGATATCTTGGTTGCTTCCAGGTTTTGGCTATTATGAATAAAGTTGCTATATACATCCGTGTACAGGTTTTTGTTGGTACATGTTTTCAAGTTCTTTGGGTAAATACCAAGGAGCACGGTTGCTGGATTGAATGTTAGGGTCTCCTCCCACCTACTTTTCAAGGTGGATCTTCTGGCTTTCCTGCCTCCAGCTGCCCTAAGAGATATTTCTTGATGAGCCCACCTCTTGGCACTGTGACATTTTCTCCTGTCATTCCTCTGTAAGAGGTACCTTTCATTCAAGGTCTGATTCAGACCCCCTTCTTCTAAGAGATGTCCTTAGCTCTCTCTTGCCAGAATGCTCATTTGCACCCACATTCCGATGGCATCACATGTATTTATCACAGCCTCTCCTGTCAGACTTGTCATTTCTGGGTCTGTCCTGGCTATACTTGAGGGTTATGTGCACCCTTGAATAGCACATGCAAAATGTCATTTTCCTGTGCACTTGTTGGATGGAGAGTTGCAGCACTTTTTTGGGTGTGACCGGGTCCCAGGGAAGATTAATGACTGATCCACATGCCAGAAAATTGAGTTCTTCAAGGGTGGGAGCTGTCGTTGGATTTTGGTGCTCCTGGCAGGTTGTAGGCACATTGCGAACGTCTTTTGAATTCCCAGGGTAAGACCTGCACTGCCCCTCCTCCCATGCAGTGTAGGAAGATAGCAGCAGTCCAGCGAGCCGGCCTGTATTGTGGACTGAAATTCAACTCATTCTCCATCTTCCCTTTTTGCATCTGAGTTGTTGGTGCCTTTATAGCTCTCAGCACCAGGACAGTGGGTTCTTTGCATTTGGAACAAGACTCTCTGGGGCTGTAGAAGTAATGACAGATGAGACCATTTAGTTACTCATCCTTTTGACGTAAATGTTGGGCTCATAGGTGTATAAATATTGTGAGCCTTGGCTTGTAAAAGTTTCACTTTTTCTTTGATTTTGGAATTCCCCTGTTAAAGATTGTTTTTGTAGTGGCTTTTGGTGAAGCTGAAGTGCATTTCCATTTTGCCAGTGGGAACATTTTCTTATCTATTGCTTTTCATTCTTTTTTTTTTTTTTTTACCAGACTTTGCTGTATTTCTACAGAATGTGTGATACAGTACTGGCAGATGAACTCAACACTGAATTGCTGTTTGATTTTAGGTATTCAAAAGTTTCGACCACATGGCCCGTCAGGATGACGAAAAGAGGAGAAAAGACCTAGAGGAGGAAATCAGGAGGAAGGAAGAAGAGGAGGCCATGGCGGCGGCAGCTGCCACAGCGGAGCAGGGGCCAGTCCCGGCCCCGGTTCAGGAGGTGGAGGTAGACTCCACTGCAGACTCAGGTGGGCCTCAGGAGCCCCTAGGCCCACAGGGCGCCGTGCAGGAAGTGGCTGTCGGCTCTGGGGAGGCAGAGCCGCCGGGAGCAGATGCTGGTGCTGCTGAAGTCCCCAAGGAACCACCATCTCTTCCCAAGTAAGGATTTCTTCTTGCTGCTTTCTTTTCTTTTTCTCTCCCCTCATCATGGTTTATTACGAGACATTGAATATAGTTCCTTGTGCCATACAGTAGGATCTTGTTGCTTATCTGTTTTATACATAGTAGTATGTGTCTGGTAATTTAAGCTTATAACTTATCTTCCCTTCTCTTTGTTAACTGTAAGTTTGTTTTCTGTGTCTGTGGGTCTGCGTCTGCTCTGTGTATAAGTTCATTTGTATCTTTTTTAGATTTCACGTATAAGTGATATCATATGATATTTGTTTTTTTGTCTGTCTGGCTTACTTCACTTGGTATGATAATCCCTGGGTCTGTCCATGTTGCTGCAGATGGCATTATTTCCTTCTTTTTTTTCTTAATAGCCCAGTAGCATTCCATTTTGTGTGTGTGTGTGTGTATGTGTGTGTATCACATCTTCTTTATCCACTCATCTGTTGATGGACATTTGCATTGCTATCATTTATTGGCTGTTGTAAACTGGGGTGCATATGTCTTTTCAGATTAGAATATTCTCTGGATATAGGAGTGGTATTGCTGGATTTTGTGGTAACTCTATTTTTACTTTTTTAGGGAACCTCCATAGTGGCTGTACCAATTTACATTTTCACCAACAGTGTAGGAGGCTGACCTTTTCTCTACATCCTCTCCAGCATTTATTATTTGTAGGTTTTTTAGTGATGGCCATTCTGACCAGTGTGAGGTGAATACCTCATTATAGTTTTGATTTGCATTTGTCTAATAGTTTTTTGATCATCTTTTCATGTGTCTATTGGCCATCTATTGGCCATTTCTCTTTGGAGAAATGTCTGTTTAGGTCTCCTGCCCATTTTTTGTTTGGGTTGTTTTTTTTGTTGTTGTTATTGAGTTGTTATTTGCCTATTTTGAAAGCTATAGGTCAACTAGTTCAGTCTTCTTCCTTTTTTTCCTCTGTAAGGTAAGGTAATAATCTGCCCATAGTCATACAGCCAGGTAAGAGCTTGAGCCCGAGTTAGAGAATAGAGTTTGCTTTCCCATGAGACCTGCTTATCCGTGTGGAAGTTTCTCCTCAGAGTCTTGATTCTGTTCTTTCCCTGCAGAAGTAACTGCTGAGACGCAGGCCTACTATCCTCTTGGTCTAAGGGATGCGTGAAGAGTTTGTCTGATACGGGGGACTGTGGACCCAGAGTTCCCCCCAGAGTCTGCCATTTAGTAAATGCATTACCTTGGGCAAGCAGGGTCACTTTTCTGTCTCAGTTTTCACCTTTGCAATGCAAAGGCGGTAATTACAGCACCTGCCTCACTGGCTGTCGTGACTGTTGAACGAACCAAGGATCATGCAGCTATGGAGTGGTAGGGCTTCAGTTAGGCCCTGTGTTGGTACTTGTCTTCACTTTTCAGAGATTCTGCTTCCTGGTGCTTCCCTGCCCCCGTTTGGGTGAGAAGAGCTGATACCTCCTAGTGTGTGAGCTGAGGCAGTGTCTGAAAGAGCACACTGCCCCTGGCCAGTTTCTGTTTTCAGGCAAATCTGCTTTCTTTCCTCTTTAATAGGACTGCTCCCTGCCCTTTCCTGCCTCATCCCTTCTAACTTAACTTCCCTTCTGTTCTTCCCTCTCCTTGCACTCTGCCTCTGACCTCTTCTGGGGAAAATGAATTTTGTGGAGACAGATTGGGGCAAGACAGCAGAGTCTGAAAGTCAGGTCGATTGCATGGAGGATCAGTGCCCACAACCACCATGTGTTCAAGGGGCGTTAACTGTTTGTGTGAGAAACGCCTGGAAGGAAATACATTATGAGTGGAATTGTGAGTGGTTTTCATTACCTTTGTTCTTCCTTACTATATTTTCTAATTTTTCTACAATGAGTTGTATACTGTGTTTTACTAATTTTTTTGCATTCTTTTTATAATGTCTAAAAACTCTGTTAAAAGAGGGGCTTGTTTTTTGACTCATGAATAATAGATTAGAATAGCTGCCTTGTTGTTTTGCAGAGACCCTATTCTTAGACCAAAGAGTTGCGTTCTGGGTTAGTATTAGCATTGGTTTTGTGAATCCTACCCAGATGTTAAGTATAGACTGAAGACTTGGGTGTGTTCCAGAAAACCTTAGACTGGTGCTGCAGGCTTAGTGGTTCCAGGGACTGAACCTTCTTGGCCTTCAGGTACTTGCTGATTTTCTATGAACAAAATAAGAAATTGTGGTCCAGATCTCTAACTCGATCTGAAAGGCAGTGCTGGGGCAGATCTGAAATGGAACATGAAAGCCATCCTTGTCCCCCAAGTCCCTCCAGTCAGTGCCCGAATCACTTATCCTGTGAACTGTAGATCTGGAAAGTGAAAGAAAGAAAGTGAAAGTCTCTCAGTGGTGTCTGACTCTTTGTGACCCCATGAACCTGCCAGGCTCCTCTGTCCATGGAATTCTCCAGGCCAGAATACTGAGTGGGTAGCCGTTCCCTTCTCCAGGGGATCTTCTCAACCCAGGGATCGGACCCAGGTCTCCTGCATTGCGGGCAGATTCTTTACCATCTGAGCCATCAAGGAAGCCCCTGCAGATCTGGGGATTCTTGTAATTAAATAACCTAGGACAGTTACTCTTTAGGTGGCCACACAGAAGCACTGCCTTTCCTGGGCACCCTGTCCAAAAACCAGTTACCTAGAGTCTGATTTCCAGTTTGAGACGACTGCTTTCTGATTGCTCCTTCTTGCTACTCATTTGCTAGTGGTTCTGGCCAATATTGGGTAGTGGTGATGGCAACTTCTCAGTCTACAGGCAAATCATTCTTTGGAGTCAACTTGTCCCCAACCTAGGCCCTGCCAACAATGGATTAAAGTTTGCATATACATAAAATAAGGTACAGATTTTAACACGTAAATCCACATGCCACCTCAGTGCTTAAGGTGCCCACTTTTATCCCTTAGAGAAGAGAGCATTTGGGCACACAGATTTCCTTGTCCATACAAGATAGCTTTGAGAACATGCTTGCTTTCTGCAGAGTAGCTTCCCAGTATGAGTTGTCTGAAGTGAAGATACTGTAAAAAGTTCCGCTTAGAGTCCCAGTGTTTCTATTGTACTTGACCCAGTGAACTGTGCTCAAAGGACTTTCCTGTTGGGAGACTTTCAGAAATGCTGATGACATTACTGTTGCTGTGGGAGGAGAGAGGGATGCAAGACCAGTAGCATCAACATCCTAATTGATACATCAGACACCGCTCAGAGCGGCTGGTGGGGTTTGCCTCTTCGATCCCATCTCTGTGTCTGGTCCCACTTTGGTGGCTATAGGTCCTGCAGTTTCGCTCTGGATCTGCAGGTGTCGCTGTAGGCAAAACAGTGATAACTGCACTTGCTGGTGCTGGAGTGCTGACAAAGATGTCTGAAAGGCTGTGCTACCTCTGGCTTTTGTCTTTATAAAATCACGAACAGAATTTTTTAAAAAGGAGAAAAAGGAAAGAAAGCATTATTGGCCCTTCCACAATACAACCTTGAACTGCGCAGGTTCACCTATACATGGATTTTTTTCAGTAGCAAATACTACAGTACTACAGAATTCCTGAGTCCCTCCTGAGCTACCCATCTTCCTGCACAGGGAAGCAGACAGAAGGGAAGGGGGTGTCATGGAACTACTTGATGCGTTGACCTGTCTGGTAAAGTCCTGGTAGAAAAAGGGTGTGTTAGAGTGCTGCTCAGTGCTTCTCTTATTTTGGGTGGCATGGCCTTTGTGTTCAGTTATTCCAGGGACCCAGATGCTTCTTGGGAAGGGGATGGTGTAATTTGGAAGAGAAGTTTCAGATTTCCAATAGTATCCTTAGCAGATGTTTCATCTTCATCACGCCTGGTGCATTTGCCCCAAGCAGAGCACGTTCTTCAGTGCTTTTGTCCACTTAGCAAGGTCTTCCAGCACTTCTCTTCTGCTGCCTGCCACAGGTAACCGCGTCTCCTTTGAGTGTGTGTTTCATCTTACCATTTGTTTATGACTAGTTCTCACATCTTTCAGCGTTGGGCAGAGACTTATTCAGCCTGTCTCAGGTCCTAGCTCCATGTTAGGTGAGTGTCTGTTGCATGCTGAGTTCATTCCTTAGTGCCTCTCCTTTGGTTCTGCTCACCCATATCCTGTGACATCTCTGCCTTAGAGATGCAGGGGGCATCTCTGCATGGGCTGTCACAAGAGCAGAAAGGTGAAGTTTTCTGCCGGGGCATCCTGTCTGCGTGCAGTCACGCTTCCTGAGAGCTGGCTTCCTGGGTTTGTCTCTAAACAGGGTCCTTCCTTTGTTGGCCCCTGCTTTTTCAGGTGCCCATTGCAGGAGGCACTTTGATAGAGTCACGTGGACATACCGGAATGCCACCCCAAGTACCCACCCTGTCGGCTTATGGTGAAGATTCACTGAGGTCAGTGTGTAAGACCTGATGAGCAGGAGTCCTGCACATAGTGAGCCCTCAAGTAGGTACTGTTCTCGGTATTGCTTTTCATTACTTAAACAAGCACAGACTGTTTTTCTTCTTCATTATAATCAATGTAGGCTATTTGGATAACAAAGATAAGGGTATAAAGACAAGAAAACATCCTACCATTTTCCCTTAATTTTGTGGGATATTCCTATAATTTTTTTCCATGCATATAAACATGTGCATGCGTGTGTTTGAACACACACACACAGAGTGCTTATAATATAGTTGTCTTATACTTGGCTTCTGTTTTGCTGAACATTGTATGCTGAGCATTTCCTGCATCCCTTTTGCTGATTTTGATTTCATGTTGTGTGTGCTCTTGAGTGTCGTGTGTCCAAGAGGTTCTTTTGCTCAAATGAGGGTGTTGGCTGTAAACATGCATTTTGAGAATAGTAAGTGGAAAGCCAGAGGTCCAGGGATGTCTGCCTACTTTCCCCATAGATGCAGCTCTCTGACCTCACTGGGACTGTGCTGGGCCCGCCTGCCTCAGGGTCTGTTTTCAGTCTCATCCAGTATAGAAGCTGCTCTCCCACCCAGTGATTCACCCTGAAACTGCCCCTTC